AGCTTTTGTCAGGACAGTCTCGACATCCCAAACAACAGGAGTCCCTACGCCAATCTATCTCTGTGAAACGCTTAGGAACCTCGTAGCTGAAGGTCGAATTGGATGGACAAGTGTGACCGAGCCCTATGTAGTCCACTACAGCCCAAAGAGCTCAGAGCATGTTGACCCAGCTATGATGTATCCTCAAGGAAAACATCCTTTCAGAGCTGTTTTGGTTAGAGACACCGAAGGCTGGCAGCTCTTGCACTACAACGAAAGGTATGAAGAGCTAGAAGAACCTTTTGGCCACATCTATGATGAGAGCCAGAACTTTGAGGTATTGACCTTGATCTCGTCCAAGGCATTTCCTCCTTACCTCATAGGAACACCCAAGAAAGCGGAAGACAGACGTACATTTGAAGAGTACACTGATGATAAGTGGTCTCTTAGCAAGGATGGAACTGAACTGATCAGGTACCACCACACGCCCAGGAAGACACGTTTTCATCCGCTCGACTTGAAGGACATTCCCGTAGAGCGTGAGAACCTCCAGAACGAGAGATCCACCTACGGAGAGGACCCAGTGAACCATGAGTTCTTTGAGGACAAGATGCCATGGGTTGCAGATGAGTATGACGAGTTCTCATCACCTTTCGGAGTGAGATCATGGACAGGACAGTCTAAGTTCAGGTTGGTCTACCCAGTAGATGGTTCAAAGGCCCAACAACAGGAACAAAGGCTCAAAACAGTCCCGGAGAATGAAAGCATGGAGATTGACGAACAGGAACCACAGGCCCCTGCACACAGGTATGAACTTCATGGAGAACTTACGTTCATTTATGATGGTCATGAGTACAACCAGCAGAACAGCCTGAAGATCCTCAAGGAATTGTGTACAGAACTTGGAGTGTCTAAGAATGGCTCAAAACAGGACCTCCTTAGAAGGCTCAGTAGGAAGATCATGGAAGATGAGAGACGGTTAGGACTCAACACTGCTCAGAAGAAGTACCAGGAATATGCCATTCCACAACCGCTCAAGGACCAAGTCATGCCCAAACCTGAAGAAGTTGAGGTACACAATTTGACACATTTACCGTATGCCACTTGGTGTCCAGTATGTGTTGCGTGCAAAGGAAAAGAGTCGCCACATCCAACTCAAAGCCCTGAGAAGGAACGATCGTCTAGACCCACATTGTGTATGGATTTCTGTTTTACAGGAACAAGTCATGATGAAGCCCCGACGGCAGTCAGCTTGGTTTGCATTGACTCTTGGAGTAGGAGCATTGCTTGCATTCCAACTGCAACCAAAGGAAAAGGTTTGATCGAGCACATTGGCGAAGGCGTTACGTACATGAGCACTCAGCTTCAGTACCAGACTATCAATTTGAAGGCAGACAATGAAGGAACCATGAAGAAGCTCAAGCAGATCATCCTGAAACAAAGGTCAGCTCTAGGACTAGGAACAACCCTTCAAGATGCAGTTTCAGGCCAGAAGGAAACCAATGGCATGGCAGAGCGTGCAATTCAAACTGTGCGTAGGCAAGCCCTCACGTTGATTCAAGGTTTGCAGGAACAGGCAAAGGTGTTGATAGCACATACTCACCCCTTGTTCAGTTGGGCATTCAGGCATGCAGCTTGGATTCTGAATAGGTACCACAGACACAGTGCTACTGGTATGACACCTTATGAGTTTGTTGCAGGAAGACCTTATGAAGGAACACTTTGCCAGTTTGGTGAGAGTTTGATGGTCTTGGCGAACAGGACTGGCGTCAATGTCAAGAAAGGTGACCCTCAATGGCTGAGAGGAGTTTTCTTAGGAAAGACTGACAACAACGTCTTCATTACGTGGCACATGGATGGCATCAAGACCAGTAGATCTGTGAAGAGATGCCCCCATCATTTTGACCTGGAAGCACTAACTAGTGTAGGAATCCACACTTGGGAAGTGAAGCACACGACGCTCACAACTCGCGTAGTTCCTAGGAAGAACCTACCAGGCCCCTCAGGAACACCAGCGCCTGTGACAGTGGTGGAGCCTCTAGGAGATCAACATGGCATTGGAGCCATTACTCCTGGAATACAGACACCTGTCATCGCAGGCGGGGCGAGTACACCAAAACCGTTAGGAACAGTCACCCCAAGAAACACGAACCTTCATGCAATGGCAAAGAAGGCAAAGGAACAAGAACAACAGCAAGCAGAACCTGCAGCACCTGCATGGATAGACCCAGGACCTGATGAGGCAGGCAGTGATGCAACGCCTACAAGTCAGCTGAGTCATCTGCAAAACAGAGGACCAGAATCTGATGAAGCAGGTAGTGACAGCATGAGCACTGACCAAGAGAAGCAAGAGAGTCAAGGTAGTGAACTTTTGTTGCCTAGAGCACCGGCAGCAGTCAGAAAGCATGAGTATGAAGACGTAGGAACTTCGTCCAAAATCCCAAGGACCGACGAGTCGCCGAAGAGGAAATTTCCACCATTTAACGCAGGACGCGTGTTTGAGCACAACGACGAACCTCTCCCTGAGCCAGGACTTGACGACATCTGTTGGGAGGACACATACTCAGATATAGGAGATGAAGAAGAAGAAGACGAAGAGGAGAGAGAGAGAGTTTTCAACGATGAGGACGCAGGACCACCAGAGCTTTCAGATGAAGAGCTCAAGACCAAGGACAGAGAGGCCATGATCACCGAGATGGAGAGACTTTCAGGAATGCAGGCACTGGTTAGGAAACCGCTTGAGGAACTTGGCTGGCGCAAGAGAGACGATGGAGAGAATGAGAGAGAAGAGAGTGAACAGGAACCCATAAAATGGCTCACCACCAAATTCGTGTTCGATTGGCGGTTCAGGTCAGGGTCTTGGAAAAGACGGGCTAGGCTAGTGGCTCGTGAATTTAAAGGAACTGAACACAGAAGCGATGTGTTCTCACCAGCCACGTCAGCAAGCCTCACAAGGTTAGTCCCCGTGATTGCTCTTCAGGAAGAGTTTTCAGTCTACAGCATTGACGTCAAAGATGCGTTTTTGCAAGTACCCCAAAGGACTAGAACAGCGTGTGAATTCCCGAAGGAATATGTGGAGCTGTTTCAGGACACTGATCCCTCTTGTCTTCAGGAAGGACTACTCTTGCTCCGAGTGTTGCCAGGACAGAGAGACGCAGCTTTGCTTTGGTCGGATCATTTTAGTGATTCGCTTAAGGAACAAGACTTTGAGAGAAGTGTAGCTTGTCCAACTCTGTTTCGAGACTCACGGAAAAGCATTCTTGTGGTTCATGTTGATGACATTCAAGCAGCAGGAAAGAGTCATCATGTCGACCCTGTACTAAAGAGTCTAGGACGAGTGTACGAGCTGAAGATTGAAGGACCGTTTCTTACCGCGCAGGAACTTGCTATTGGCGAGTCGCTTCAGACGGTGAGATTTCTCAAAAGGAAGTACTCGTATCACAATCATGAACTTCACATTCACAGTGACCCAAAGTATCTTGGAAAACTTCGTGAAGAACTCAAGTTGACAGGAAAGGCATCAAAGCCGACGCCGTGCACACAGGAAAGCCAGGCAGTAGACAACACAAACCCTCTTGACCAGGAACAAGCAGCTTCGTTTAGGAAGTGTGTAGGAATCCTCCTATATGTTTGTCAGGACAGGCCGGATCTGCAGTTCGCAGTAAGAGGTTTAGCGTCCAAGATGTCATTGCCGACATTTGCAGCTAAGAAGCAGTTGATTCATGTTGTGCAGTACATGACAAAGACAGATGGTTACCATTGCACGTATAGGAAAACACCTCGAGGAATGTCAAACCTAAACGAGAGCATTCGCAACGGAACCTATGACTTTTCCCAAGTCAAACCCAAGGAACATCACTTGTTGGAGGTATACTCCGATTCAGATTGGGCAGGACAGAAAGACAGTCGTCGCAGCACAAGTTCAGGAACTGTGTTTCTGGATTCTCAACTGATCTATGCATTCTCTAGGACCCAAAGGAGTATTTCTCTGTCTTCTGGAGAGGCAGAATATTACGCCGCAGCTAGTTCAGCTAGTGACTCTTTGTTGCTCAAGGAAGCGATAGAATTCCTCACCTGTAGGAAGTGCGTAGTGCATTTGCATCTAGATTCTTCCGCTGCTCGTGGTATCATTACCAGGCAGGGAGTAGGAAGAGTGAAACATTTGCAGATTAGGACCCTCTTTCTCCAGGATCTCCACAAACAAGGAATTCTTAGTGTCCACCCGGTAGGTACCAGGGATAACACTGCTGATATAGGAACTAAGCCGCTTTCAGGAAAACGCATTAAGTTGTTGATGCATTGGCTAGGCTTCAAGGACGAACAAAACCAACCAGTAGGAATTGAAGAGCTTCAAGAACATCGACAGCAGGAACAAGCTAAGGCCACAGTCAAGAGAATCAAGTCCAAAGGAAACTTCGCATTTGCAGCTTTGTTGTTCTCTTTGCTTTCAGGAAGTTTGGAAGGTTGCTCAAAGGTTGAAGTAGCTTCAGGAACATGTCTTTTGCAGTCGTGCAGTACATGTGTAGGAACTGTGCAGGAACATGTCGGCATGTGCAGTGACACGAGTGCATGTGCATTAGGATTGCAGGAACAGCTTGAAGTAGGAAACATTTGCAGCTCGATGCCTCGAGTGAAGGACCTCTGTTTTAGGAACCCTGAAAAGGAAGAGACAGTAGCTGTAGAGAAGGAAGTAGCAGCTATGGAACCGAGTGCCTCCGAGAAGGAACGTTGGTTCAGAGAGCTCACCTCTCAGTTGAACCAGTTGAAAGAAGCCCAAGGAACCACGAACGTGTTGCTCAGAGAACAGCGTCGCGAACAGGCAAGCCTCAAGGAACAGATTGAGGACCAACACCTGCGAGATGTGGAGTTGCTCAGGCACTTGAAGGAAAGGATAGAAGCTTTGGAGACCAAGATCGCCGAGTACGAGAAGGAAGAAGAAGAGATCAAAGGAATGATTTGGTGGAAGCTTCAAGAAGAAGAAAGAGGAGCAGAGATGGAAAGAGAGCTACGAAGAACAGGACATGGTCGAGGAGAAGAAGGAAGTAAAGAAGAAGAAGAAGGATCGAGTTCTACCACACCAAGATCTTCGTCGGCGTCTACTACATCAACGCAGGAGGAAAAGAGGAAGGAAAAGGAGAGGAAAGAGAAGATCAGGAAAGTGAATGAGGAGCTGAGGAAAAGAGAAGAAGAGGAGAAGGAAAAGGAAAAAGGTTTTGCGTACCCCTACGACGACACCGAGTACAAGATCTACGTGGAGAATGGCAAGGTGTACAAGCAGCACAGGATCACGGGCGAGAAGGTCGAAGTTGGCGTCGACTACGTCTACAAGTACCAGAAAGGAAAGGAAGGAAAAGGAAAAGGACCAGGAAAAGGAAGCACCAAGAACACAGCCACAGGAGCGAGCAGCAGCTCTGACAAGCAGGCAAGCGCAGCAGTCGCTGAAGCAGCAGGAGTTACACCACAGGAAGAAGGAGCCACGCAGGAAGCAGAGAAGCAGGTAGAGAAGGATGAGAAGAAGTGGCAGAAGGAACGCGAAAGGCGAGAGAGAATCAGGAAGAGGAAAGCCGAGGAGAAAGCCAGGAAGGAGAAGGAAGAAGCAGAAGAGGAAAGGAAAAGACAGGAAGCCACAGCAGAAGAGGAAAGGAAGAAGCAGGAAGCAGCAGCAGAAGAAGGAAGGAAGAAGCAGGAAGCAGCAGCAGCAGAGGAGAGAAAGAAGCAGGAAGCCGCAGCAGAAGAAGAGAGGAAGAAGCAGGAAGCCGCAGCAGAAGAAGAGAGGAAGAAGCAGGAAGCCGCAGCAGAAGAGGAAAGGAAGAAAAGGCAGGCAGCAGCAGCAGCAGAGGAAAAGGACAGGAAGAGACGAGAGGCAGCAGCAGCGGCAGAAGCAGAAAGGAAGAGACGAGAGGCAGCAGCAGCAGAAGCAGAGAGGAAGAAGCAAGAGGCAGCAGCAAGAGAAGGAAAAGAAGATGAAAATGAAAGTTTGAGGATTGAGATGGCCCAGCTTCGTGAGTTGGTCAGAGGAATGAAGGAACAGCAAGCCTCAGACAAAAGGAAGATCATCTCGCTTCAGGAAGAGCTCAAGAAGGCCACAGACAGTGAAGGAAGCACAGGAGAAGGAAAGAAGAAGGACAAGCCGATTGGCCCACAGGATCGAAGCCAATTCAGAGTTGGAGGAAGTGAAGGAGCTCAGGAACTGTATGCGATCTTTCCTTACGAAGGATTAGATTTCCAGTGGAAATGGGTGCAGGCCACAAAGGCATGGCTCTACTACGACGTGAACCAGAACTTGTGGATCAAGGACAGCGAAGATGAAGATGGAGGAAGGATCTGCAAGGAACAGGAGAAGCAAGTGAAAGGATGAAGGAAGGAAAAGAAGCGAATGAGAAGAGAAGCAAGGAAAAGCAGAGGAAGGATCAGCAGCGCTCAGTCGAGCAGTGAGGAGTGAGTTTCAAGATGAGAAGGAAGCCAGAACAAAGGATGGAGTATCCGTTCTACTGGCAACTTTCAGGAACTTTGTTTTCGCTTTTGTTGACTAAAGGAAAATGATCCGAGTAATCAACTTAGCCCACGACAGTTGAAGCTAGCTTAGTCTAGGAACGACTTTCACCAGCTTCGAAGGCGGGGTGTTAAACATCTACGCAGTACAGGAAGCTGTGCACCAGGTGCATGTGGAATGCACACCAGAGCCCCGGAACGTCTTGTCGACGACAGGCTCGAACAAGGACACACACCGCAGCGAACCCAGGAAAAGTGCGGAGTGTCCCAGCTTTTCAGTTAGCTTTAGATTGACCCTATCTTTGACAGTGTAGAGTTTTAGGGGTCTTACGGTTCAGGGGCCTAAGGGGTTTAGGATTTTAGGGTCTTGAGGTTGAAGGGGCTTAGGGGGTGTTAGGGTTCCTTGACCTTTCTTTCGCTGGTGCAGCACTTGACCCACCCTAAACCCTAAACCCTGAACCCTACTAGACCCTAGACCCTAGACCCTAACCCTAAACCCTGATCCCTCCGGAATTCCTGCGCCGCACTCCACCACGCGCTGCAGGAAGATGCGGAGAGCTTGGCCTTCCCTTTCGGATGGATGCAGCTCCCTGGCCTAATAGGGAGGTTTCCGGACATAGTTGGGGTACCCTTTTTGGGGGTTCCTATAATCTGGATGATTGTATTTGGGTAGTACAGCGAAAATAGCGGGTACCCTTTTTGGGGGCGCCTATAATAGGGATGATTGTATTTGGGGGTATTTTGGGGGATGCCCCGATTTTGGGACATGGCCATAGAATCTTTAGCCTTTTTTGGTATCAGACTCGAACCGGATCCATGCGCGGATTTTTCGCAAGTACGCCCATTTTCCTGGACCCTAAACATGTGGCCCACAGCTACCCAAACAGGTGCCCCTAGCATTTCGGGAAAATATCTGAGGTGTGCGTGTGTGTGTGTGTGTGAGGCACCGGGTTTTGGTAGCATGAGCTGCTGTATCGCCACTCTGTGGGGCAAAACCATGCGTTTGGCACAGGCACTTAGTAGCTGAGTGAGTACACTTTACACTTTTTGGGACTTGGGACACTATAATCCCCTATAGAACTGAAAAGAACTCAGGTAGCTTAGGTATGCTTATGCTTGGAAAACAGATGGATTCAGACGCAGATAACACTGTGTCTAGGCTGGCAATGTCGCATCAGAACGTGCTCGACGTGACAGGCCAACGGAGGGACGTGGCGGCTAGGACCCAGAGTAGGCCCTTATTTCCTTTTTTTAGGCTTCCGGTCCCCTGTTAAGACCCTTTAGACCAAAAAGGGCAGCCTTTTGTTCCTAGGTTACTCTTGGGTCTATGTGGGGTTTGGGTTGGGTTTAGGGTTCAGGGTGTGGGGTTTATCGCCCTTCGGTAGCTAGAGGATGGTGATCTGAATCCTCAACTCCCAACCGTAAAAACCCAGATAAACCCACATAAACCCCAATATAAAAGCCCAAAGTATAAACCCAATACATAAACTCACATGAACCCGTAAAACTGAACACTGAACACATATGAACTAATATGAACCCATATGAACCCATATAAACGCCAATAAACCCGCATGAACCCATATGAAACCTTATACACACCCAAGAGAACAATCCAATGTAGAACCCATACCAACCCATACAAACCCATACTTTGAGGCCTCAAACTTGAAACCCTAAACCCTAAACCCTAAACCCTAAACCCTAAACCCTAAACCCTAAACCCATATCCACATTCTTCTGCTTCAAACTCGAAACCTGCCAGGCCTGGATGGAGTGGTGGTCGTGCGCTTCCTTGACCTGGGCCTCCTGGCTTCGGAGATTTGGCCCGGGCTAGGGTTTCGGGTTTCGGGTTTCGGGTTTCGGGTTTCGGGTTTCGGGTTTAGGGTTTAGGGTTTAGGGTTTAGGGTTTAGGGTTTAGGGTTTAGGGTTTAGGGTTCAGGGTTCAGGGTTTAGGGTTTCGGGTTTCGGGTTTGGGGTTTAGGGCGGCGCTCGTACCCTGCGAGCCCTATGTCCGAGATCCCAATTGTTGTCGTCAGGCCGTGGGCTGCCTGGTTTAGGATTTAGGGCAGGATTTAGTGTTGAGGGTGCTTGTTGTACTGTAGACAACCTAAACAACAAAAGTCCAAACACCCCAAAAATGAAACACAGGATGCCGAAACCCTTAGCACAACGGAAGCTAGCACCCTTCACTCTGATCCCTGCCCTCTAAACCCTAATTAAACCCTAAACCCCAAACCCCAAACCCCAAACCCCAAACCCCAAACCCTAAACCCTAAACCCTAAACCCTAAACCGGATCACAGGGGTTGGCTGAGGCTTCAAGTTCTGTATCCTGGGCTGCGTGGTCTGTGCTGCGGCTTGGCCGCATACCTGGAGGACCAAAATGAACCCTCAACTTGGGGTCATATACCTTATCCGACTATAATCTCTATTAAGAAAATAAACCCTAAACCCTAAACCCTAAAACCTAAACCCAAGCCCTTTTTGAGCTCAGTTCGTCCTTAAGGTTACGAGGGGGGAGAGGGGTTCAGGGTTCCAGCTTTCATGGCTCGGGACGAGCTCGAGCCCCCCCCCAAGAATCTGCAGCAGGGTTTAGGGTTTAGGGTTTAGGGTTTAGGGCTTGCCCCCCTTAAACTCTAAATCCTAAGCCCCTCAAACCCCTAAACCCTAAACCCCCCGTTAGACCCTATACCCTAAACGCCCCCGCAAACCCCTCAAAAACCAGAAGACCAGAAACTCAAAAGACCCTGAACCCCCAATTTCCTTTCCGGCAGTCCTTGAGGCGTTGGTGCCCATGTATGGCAACTCTGGATGCAACGAGGTGCACTTCAAGCGCTGGACTCTGTCCCCTGGCTTTGCTACTTACTTCAGAACCTCCCCCAAAAAGTGTCAAGTCCCTAAACCCTAAACCTCAAACCCTAAGCCCCTATAAGCCCTATAGTACCCTTATGAGGAAGATCTTTTTTGTTACGTTTTTTTTTTGGGGGGGCGGGGGGGGGGGGGGGGGGTTCTTAGCAGTTTGGGGGGTTCGGTGGTTCTAGGGTCGAGGACCCAAAGCAGGCCCTTTTTATTCCCCTTGTTGGGGGGTGTTTAGGTTCCCTTGTAAGGCCCTTTGGGTTTAGGGTTCCTTGTGCTGTGAGTCCGATTCCTCTATAAGGATTCTAAGCTTTTTTGGGTTGCGGGTCGTTCAAAGCATACAAAGCTAAGCCGCAAGCCTCGGGTCCAAGCGTGCGGGTTTCGGGGTTTAGGTTTCAGGGGAACCATTAAAGTAGACTCAAGGGCAAGCCATGCAATCTCTAAGCACCAAGGTCCAACATCAGCTGCATTGAAGTGGAAGAGAGCCAGATCCATGGCCGCAGTGGTGTAAGCAAGGGGGGAGACCTGCAGCACAAGTCCTAAACTGCCCTGCCTGCTAAGCCTACTCTTGATGTTCGCGTGTCGTACGAAAGAACTATGGCTAGTATAGGGAGCCCCTTTTTTTAAAGGCACCTTGTATAACCCTGCTTAGTACTTCCGCGAGCCTCCATGCAAGCCGTAAGCCCTAAACATCTCCAGTTCATCGATCTCCGAACGTGGGACCCGTAACCCTTGGCGCAAAGGCACGCGCAGAGGCGTGCAGATCAACCCAGGAAACTCAACCTCAGCCTGGTCCGGGTTTTTTGGGTTTGGGGTAAGGGGTTGGGCTTGACTGTTTAGGGTTACCCCTTTTGCTGGCAAGCAAGCCTTCCCAAGTTCTTGAGAGATGAGGAGCGTTTGTAGCCTTGCCCTGCAGACCCCAAGCCATCAAGAGTCCCAGGCCCTCAGGGCTTGCACACTTATTGGGGTGTTGGGGAGTTCAAGATGTAGGGTTAAAGCCTCACCTTGTTCGGAGTTCGATGATGTTCGACGTGGTCGTCGCCGCGGCCTACTTGCTCAACGTCGGGCCCTTGTGGCTGGAGTGTGGCGGTGTGGCAGGTTTGTCTTCAATAGGCCTTATAAGGTTTGCTTGATGAACCTCCCTTCCCTCCCCCCTCTCCCCACCGTAAGAGGCCCTCCAAGCCCTATGCACGCGGCCCATAGTCCCGAGAGAAAGCCAGCTCGCTGGTGCATGGCTTGCCTAAACCCTAAACCCTATTTCCTAAACCCCAAACCCTAAACTGGGGGGGGGGTCAGACGGGTAACTGTGGCCGTTTCTGGCCATGCCTGCCAAATCCATAGGTTCCGGGAGTAAACCCAGAACCCTGAACCCTGAACAACGCCACACCCTAAACCCTAAACCCTAAACCCTAGGTGATCTTGCCTAGGTGATCTTGTTTGCCTCGGCACGCCGTCGGCAGGGAATCCCTGCAGTTCGCACCAGGCCACAGCTTGAAGGCTCCAAATACAGGGTAGCAAAGGATCCAATCCCCTTATAGCCCTAAGGGTCAGGGTTTAGGGTTTAGGGTTTAGGGTTTAGGGTTTAGGGTTTAGGGTGTAGGGTGTAGGGTGTAGGGTGTAGGGTGTAGGGTGTAGGGTGTAGGGTTTAGGAGGTTCGAGTTTAGGATTGCTTTCCTCAAGATACTAGCAGTCCCTTGGGCCGCCATGGGCGCGTGCAACTGCAGCTGTCCGGGTACAGCACCGCCAGCGGCCGAGAACATCGTCGCCCCCACTGTGGCGAAAGAAGAAGGTGGAAGCCCTGAACCCTGAACCCGAAACCCGAAACCCTAAACCCTAAACCCTGAACCCTGAACCCTTATAAACCTGCAGCCATATGGCCTCAACTAATCTTGGAGAAGGTTAGCTTCGAATTCCCTCCTCACAGTCTTCGGCATATAAAGCTGAACCCTTGCACTCCTACGGTAAAACTACGACCCCTAACGCCTCCGGAAACCCTGGACCCTAGACCCTCAACCCGAAGTCCTAATCCCTAAACCCTAAACCCGAAACCCCAAAAACCCATATTTACCCAAACCTTCAAAGAACTTCCAGAGTCTAGGATGGCTTAGTTGCACCTCGGAAGCTTTCCGAGGGTGCGTCTCGGTAGTGGTACCCTAAACCCTAAACCCATCACCGGCTGCTGTGGAGTGCACGGAGGCACCGCAACCGTAGACGACCCCCGCATTCTGAAGCAGTCCGCCACTGAGGAGGCGATACCACACAAGGAGAGCGGAAATGTCCCCTTAAAGCCTAAACGACTCTAAGGCCTTGGGTTTAGGGTTTAGGGTTCCCTTGAAACCCCAAAACCCTAAAGTCCCAAACCCTAAACCCTAAACCCCAAACCCTCAACCCTAAACGCCTTAGCCAGCTGTGTTGATGCACTCTGAATCCTATGTCCAAGGCCCTACTCAGGCTAGGTCGGCGTTGGATACGTTCAGGGTCTACGGTTTAGACCTCTGGGTTTAGGGTTCAGGGTTTAGGGTCTAAATCAGGGTTAGGGTTTAGGGTTTAGGGCCGCAGATTTATGTCAAGGTGGAGTCGTGTAGGCGGGAAAGACCTGACGTGGGCATGTCTCAAAGGAGGGTTACTCCCTGTATACCCCCCAAAATTTAGCAAGCACCCACTACTGCTAAAGCAGGATACTCCCTGTTTGCCCCCAAAAAATTAGCAAGCACCGACTACTTCTGTTGGAGGAAGAGCAGGACTTGAACTACGATGGTGACATTGCCGATCTCAGACAGGACGTGCGGCGGAGACGGAGGTCTATGTTTTGAAAGCAGCGGCAGATGGGATGAGGAGGCTTCTCATCATGAGATCCCTGCAGGCTTGCTGGCTTACTGTTCTGAATGCTCCACATTTGCTGATCTGCTGGACGTCTCTGCCTGGGCACTGTCGATTCATGATGTCCCGCGGTATGGAGTCTTTGGTACGCTGGAGCAAGGACATGGTCTTTTTCAGGCCATGTGAGCCTCCCTCAACCCTAAACGCAAAACCCTAAACCCTAAACCCTAAACCCTAAACCCTAAACCCAGCTATAGGAACTTACGGGGCTCCTAAACCTTGCCACAGCGGCGAAAGGCCTCTCGGCTGTGTACATGCTTGCCTGCTTGCGGCTCGCGGATGTGCGAGTCTACGGCAGTTTCACATGGATCAACTGCTGAAGAACCGCCCCCTCCCCCCCCCCCCCCCCCCAAAAAAAAAAAAAAAAAACACATCATTCTTTCCCATAAGGACATTGTAAGGATTTTAGGGGGACTCGTAAGCATTCTTCCTTGCAAGGGTAACATAGGGATTATGATTCTTTGTTGTTTTTGGGGGTTGTCAAGCAAGTAGTAGGGGTGTTGCCAACGCAGGAGTGTTGCGGGTTTAGGGCAGCTCGACATCGACCTTGTAACCAGATGCGTGTCGCTCGCAAGCACACCTAGGGCCCCGAAGCCCTAAACCCGAGTTCGGGTTTAGGGTTCAGGGTTCAGGGTTCAGGGTTTAGGGTTTAGGGTTTAGGGTTTGGGGTTTGGGGTTTAGGGTTCTTGGCGCACGGAACCCTAAACACCCGAGGCCTTTATGGGTACGTAGGGTTTTGAGTAGGATTATGCTAACCATACAGCGAACCTTCTGTAGGGGGTACGTAACACACTGCTTGAAAGTACCCATGATTCTCCTGGTAATGTAGCCTAACGGCCTACCGGATGGCGTACATGCTCACCCAGCCGCCCGAAGGGCGTCACACCTCCATGAGGGCAGGCACCTGGACCCGGACGGCTTCAGGGTTTAGGGTTTAGGGCGCAGGGTTTAGGGCTTAGGGTTTAGGGATTCTAGTGCTTTAGGGTTTTCTGGGCTTAAGGAGGGTTTTCGGCTTTTAGAGCTTTGCGGTTTTTAGGGTTCAGGGCTTAGGACTTCTAGGGCTCAGGGTGCGTCTTTTGTTGGAATAAGGCATCTGAGATCCAAGAGAGGAGCCACAAGTCAGGGTCAAGGCGGAGCCTTGAATGCGATGAAATCCCCCTCGATGCTTCTGCAGTCTGGCAAGCGATGGTGGCAAAAGGGCCACGCCAGCTGCCCCTAAACCCTAATCCCTATAGACCCTAAACCCTAATCCCTATAGACCCTAGACCCTAAACCCTAAACCCCAATTTTGCCCGGGCATTTCGGATTCCAGGCGTCAGGAACTGGAGCGCTCCCGAAGCGTGCAGAGTTTAGGGTTCAGGGGTTAAAGGATTAGGGGTTTCGGATTGTGCAAGACAGCAATGAGGAAGAAGCATTGCGCAGTGGCAGTGGGATGTAGGTCTCAGCTGAAGGGTGTGAACGCTGAACCCTACTCCCTCAACCTTCAGCGCCATACACCCTCAACCCTAGAAGGCCCATTGAAACTCCATAAAGCACTATAACACTCCATAAAGCCCTCTAAAACCCTAGAAAAGCCCTATGAAGCCCCACAAAACCCCCACAAACCGGCCATTTTCCCCATACTCTGCCGAGGCAGGGTTCTACCATTTCATGGTGGGCGAGTGGGCCAACTTCCTCAACTTCCGAGACTTGGTGGCCCAGTGGTACCCTTTGCTCGTTTTTGATTGTTTGGTTTTGTTTCTCATTATTATTGTTGTTATGATATTTATATATCAAAATATGTGTATTTTATTTAATTATTATTATTTTTTTTTTTTTTTTTTGGGGGGGGGGGGGGGGGGGGGGGCGGGGGGGTCTGGGTTCCCTTATAAAGTAACGCCCCAACACGGGGTGCCCTAATCATGAGACGACTACCGGGCTTACTAAGGAAAGAAGCGCTTCAAGCAGATGGTGCTGGGCAGCTCCGCGTCAACGTAGACCTCAAGTGTTTGTTGTGGCGCTTTCGGGGCTGGTTTTTCGGATATTTTCCAACTTTCCTTATTGCGGTTTATAAGGGATCTCTATATGCAAGTATTTTTCAGAGGGTTTCAGGGCAAGCCCGGTTTCGGGCTTGTTGTGTTGGACTTTCATTGCTATGGAGCTACCATCCTCTCGTATGCCGAGCTCTTGTAGGCAGCTGGAGGGTTTTCGGAACCTTTCGGAACCCTGAACCTTAAACCCCGGGCACGACGTCTTCTTTGACAAAAGCTGTTCATGCCCGGCAGTGTTGCTCAGTGTTGCTCCAAGAGTCTGCATACAGTGAGCCGATTGTTGCTGAGCCGGTTGTTTCACTTCATGGTTGAAGGTTCAGCATTTCCCTTCAAGGTTACTTTCGGAATGGAAATCCTTAGCAGTAGCAAGGGGACCCTAAATCAGAGCAACCCCCTTTTCGTGAGTCAGGTAAACCCTGGCCCTGAACCAGCGTGTGTTCCAGGTAGCTTGGGCAACAGCGCGGCCCAAGCCAGCCGGTCAGTCTTGGTGGAGAATGTGCCGAAGGCCTCCCCCTAATCCGTGGCGGTGAGCTTGTGCTTGTTACACAAGGTTGAGGGCGGAAAAAGCTAGGCCAGTAGTTTTGCCGCTCTATGGACTACTGTAGCTTCTTCCTCATTCTGTCAAGAACCAGAATGAGGCTTCAGGGTTTAGGTAACCCTAAACTCTACACTTACAAAATGCACCGTTATCTACCATGAAAAAAGAAAAGACATTTATATGCAGACCTAGCAAGAAACGCTGCAGAGCAAAACAACATTGGCGGCCGTGCGAGAAAATCACTGTGGAAATAAGAACAGCACATGGCAAGCTAGCCATACGAGAGCTGTGGTCATTATCACTGGCCACAAAGTGCCGCGAACCCCAAATCCTAAACCCTCACGTTAGGTCTGACAGTGAAAGGCTCACCTTTTGACAGGGGTATGGTGCGAATCACTCTGCGACACCGACCTTAGCTTTCAACTTTGTGAACTTCAACGCCTTTACTCCCTAAACGCTCTGACTACAGAGCCATCCTAAAACCAGAAGCCTCCTCTTTGCAACAGGCCCTCTTATCAACGTGAGTTTCAAAAAGCAACACGTCCACGAAAGCCCCAAACCCAAAAAGTCCTACATCCCCAACAACCCTAAAGCCCTAAAGCCCCCCAAAAACCACGAAACGCTCGAAATTCCGAGAACCCACAACTCCAAGAACCCTAAATCTCTAAACCCTAATACCCCAAAAACCTAGAACCCCCCAAAACCCTAAAAACCCCAAAGCCCTACAGCCCTAAAACCCTAAAACCCCAAAGCCCTAAAGCCTTAAAACCCTAAAATCCCTAAAGCCCTAAAACCCTAAAGCCCTAAAGTCCTAAATCCCCAAAACCTCCAAAACCCTAAATCCCCTACCTAAAACCCCAAAACCCTAAAACCCCCAAAACCCCCAAAACCCTAAAACCGCAGGAGCTGCGGTCCGCAGAGGCATCGCGAGGGTAGTTGCGGGGGTTTGGGATGTGGGGGGGGGGGGGGGTTCAGGGGGTAGGGTTCAGGGTTCAGGGTTTAGGGGTTTAGGGTTTAGGATTTAGGGTTTAGGGTTTTAGGGTTTAGGGTAACTTTGCTTTTCATTTTCGGCGGGGGGGAGGGGCGGCGGGGGCATGGAATAAGCCTGGAATAAGGGTTAGAGTATGTTGGCGGGGGTTTGGGATTTAGGCTTTTATGGCCTGGAGTTTTCAATTTTAGCTTTTGGGGTTCAGGATTTGAGGGCTTTAGGGTTTGTGCTGTTGCAATCCGGGCTTGGGCACGCTTCCTGGTCCAACTGGGGCGACCCCCAGGGTTTCAGCAAACTGCTGGCAACGAGCTAGGCGTAAGTCCCGAGAGTTTCATCACAGTATCAAAGCTTATCGGGTACGTGCTAGGGTTTTAGGGTTTAGGGTTTAGGGTCTAGGGCTAGGCGTTGCCATGCATACTCTTTCAGGTGCCTGGTTATGGGGAGGTCGTCTAGCAAGACTGGAAGCCCAGAAACATGAGTGGGTGCGGGGGGGGGGGACCCAGCAGAACCCCAGCCATGAACTTGAGGTAAAAGCTCCCAGCAGCTACCTGCTTCAAACGATCCGAATCTGACCCCTAAACCCTAAACCCTAAACCCCCTGATCCCGAACGGCAAGATGCTGGGGGGGGGGGGGGGGGGGGGGGGAGGGGGGGGGGAGGGGGGGGGGAGGGGTCATCGGCAGGCGTTACATCGCTACTTCGAGCGGCAATTTGGTCCAGGCTGGTCCACAGCCCTCAAGCCCGAAACCTTTCTGAAGTGGGGGCCTTAGTTTAGGGTTTAGGGTTTAGGGTTTAGGGTTTAGGGTTCAGGGTTTAGGGTTCAGGGAAGTTTACGATATTAGGGGTACCTTTATTGGCGTCCGTATGACAAGGGAAGGCTACTATTTGGGGGAGGGCCATGTTAGATCTTCGTAAACCCCCCAGCAGCGCAAAGCCCGGGAAAGAGGCAGCTTTCTTGGGAAGACTGTTCAACCTGGGGTTTAGGGTTTATGGTTTAGGGTTTAGGGTTTAGGGTTTAGGGTTTAGGGTTTAGGGTTTAGGGTGGGGACCTTGGGCGCAGGAGCCACCGCGGTCGTTCTGCCCAATCCTTGTAAACCCTAAGACCCCAAGACCTTATCACCCTAAGGCCCAGACCTCTTGGACCTGCATTTCTGTTGGAATCCTGCTGCTAAGCCCTAAACCCTAAACCCTAAACCCTGCACCGTAAACCCTAAACCCGAATTATAAATCCCAGACGAACCTTGGCGGAGGCTCCGTGCACTCCGTGGTGGTCCAAAGTGCGGCTGGGCTCAAACCTACGTTGAGCTCTAAGAATGAGCCCCTGTAAGGTTTAGGGTTTAAAGGTTTAGGGTAGGGTTTAGGTGAAAAACGCGAAGACCTAAAAGGCCCAAGACTCAGAAGGCCCCAGCGGGACAAAAAGAACCGAAACCCTAAGCCTCATAAGCCCTAGAAGCCCTCAAAGGCCCCTAAAACCTTAACTCCGAACTTTTAAAGCAGCGAGTTGGGGGTTCAGAGCTGCAGGGTCTGAAATAGCTCTGCGTGCGTGGACTGCGGCATAGTTCGGGGTTAAGGGTAGGTGGAGCTTCAGGAACCCGAAGCCCTTAACTCCTAGGGCTTTGGGGGATGTAGGGTGGCCTCATAGAGAGCTTGCCATCCATTTCGCAGCTGTGATGCCGAGTGGATCGATTGTTGCAGGACACACGTGCCCTACACCGCATCGAGGACTCGGGAATCAGCTTGCAAATCTCCATAAACCCTGAGCCCGAAACCCTAAACCCTGAACCCTACACCCTCAGCCCTAGACCCTAAACCCATGCCAGTGACTAATAAACAAAGGCACCAAGAGCCTGGAAGCTTTCGACCCGAAGGGTTTAGGGTTTAGGGTTTTGGGTTCAGGGAAGTTATACGGATCACCATCTAGGACGCCAGGACCATGCTCGGACCTGCTCGGGTGCACACGTAGGCTTTCGGGCCTCGACCTTAAACCCTAAACCCTAAACCCCCTTCCCTGAAGAACTGCTGCACCTCCCGGCTGTTTTGCTGCTGCCGCGCTTCCGAGCGGTGTGGCCCCTAGCACCTCTCGAAAACTGGTGAATTCAGGGTTTAGGGTTTCGGGTTTGGGGTTTCGGGTTTAGGTTTTAGGGTTTTGGGGTTTAGGTGCTTTTTTTGAGTTTCAGGGTCATAAGGTTTGAGGGTTTGGGGCCTCAGGGCTTGCTGGGTTTTAGGGTCCGATTATGTTAGGGTTTAGTTTTTTTTTTTTTTTTTTTTTGGGGGGGGGGGGGGGGGGGTGTAGGGCTTCAGTTTTTTCTCTGATGATTTTGGGGTTCTAGGGTTTCTAGGGTTTATTCGGGTTCTAGGATGTTAAACTGCACTTTTTCTTTCCCAGGCGAGAATTGATTACATTGAAAAGCCCTGAAAGGGATCAGGAGGCGGATCACCTGACAGGTCTTTGTGGTTTAGGGTTTAGGGTTTAGGGTTTAGGGTTTAGGGTTTAGGGTTTAGGGTTTAGGGTTTAGGGTTTAGGGTTTAGGGTTTAGGGTTGGGATGTTCCCCCGTATACGACCAGTCCTTATTAGGGATTCCCCTCTATTATAATCACCCTATTAAGGACTGTTAGTCCTAAGGGGGAACATCCCAAGCTTAGGGTGTGTTGTGGTGTTGGGGGGTCTTGGTTTGAGGTCTCGGTGGGGCTCAAAAGGCGCAAAATGGCGCAAAAGGTCATGGTGCCCCCGCAGGTCTTGAATAGGCATTCTGTTGAGTGGGCTTCACTTCGACCACCTATTCTTGCAGTCGCTCAAACATAGGGAGCACATACCCTGAACCACAAAAAATGCCAAAACCCCAATATAGGGTTTATAAGTTTATATGGTCTATAGCGTTTATAGGGTTTATGGGACTTAGGGTTAATTGTCCCTAAACCCTAAACCCTAAACCCGCAACCCTAAACCCTAAACCCTAAACCCTAAACCCGAAACCCGAAACCCGAAACCCGAAACCCTAGTCCCCAGCCAGGCTCGAGAACTTGCGCGCTGTGGTCCGGCCGGATGTGTTCTGGGGACGCTGCGCTGCAGCTTCGTTGTGGGGGCATTCAGACTCAACCCTAAGCCCTACCCTAAACCCTAAACCCTAAACCCTAAACTGTGGTTTAGGGCTCTAGGGCGTAGAGGTTTGGTCTAGGGCTGTAGGGTTATGGAGGTTTTTGGCTTAGGGCTTAAGGGTTTTCTAGAGGTTTGGCAAGCTAATGTTTAGGATTTTGGGGGCTTCGAGGTTTAGTAAGTCTAGAGTTGGGGGTTGAGGGTCTAGAGTTGTTGGGCTAGTTCATGGTTGTGTCTTCGAGGGTTGTAAACTCTGACCCGTAAATCTCCTACTTGACGGTGGCCTTCACGGTCGTGCTCTAAATGCATCCTAAACCCGACCCTAAACCCTACGTCCTAAATCCTAATCGACCCTGAAAATCCTAAATCGGCATCAGGGTCGAACAATGGGGCTACGATTCAGGGTTAGAGCATTTGGTTAGGGCCTGGGGTTGCTGCCTGCAAGGAAGCAATCAATGCAATACCAGGCAAGCTCCCGGAAACTACAGCAAAGATGCTCAGAATCCAAGCGCCGCCCAAAGCAATAGGCTGAAAACCTACTCAAGTCATCCCCACATACTCCCGACACAACCATACAGAGAATAGCCCATTCTGATGAAGTGGGTTGCTAGGTCAACCCCTACCAGGCCCTACCCCCTACCGCCGAATGTTAAAAGCACTGCGGCAGGAACACAGCTCGGCGATCTCAGCAGGGGAAGGCGCGGATGACTAGCTACAGGAAGCGTGGGTGCCTCCTAGAGAGAGATTACGCCCTGAACCCTAAGCCCTATAAGCCCTAAGCCATCACCCTATAAGAACTAAACCCTATAAGCCGCAAACCCCATGAGCCCAAAACCTTAGGCCCTAAACCCTCCTAATGCCCTGCACCCCCCAATAAAATGCCCTAAACCCTAAACCCTAAACCCTAAACCCTAAACCGTCCTAGATGGACGGACGTGCGGCCCTCCCCCTGGCCGCATGAGCTCAGCCTGGGGATTCAGGGTGGGTCCAGGTTCTTCAGGGCTTTTGCAGGCTTTTGGGGGGCTTTGCGGTGGGGCCAGGCTCTTCAGGGCTTTTAGGGCTTGTTAAGGCTTTTTAGGGCTTTTAGGGGTTTTAGTTTTTGAGGCTATGCAGATCTTGACTTTGAGAAGATCTTAGCATTCACGCCTTTCGGCCATGGCTCAGATAGAGGGCTTCGGTTCCCGTTACTAAGTTCCTTGGATTCATCAAGAACGGTCCAGGAAACCAGGAGGGATTTGGGGTGTAGGGTTCAGGGTTTAAGGTCGCTTCGGGTTCAGGGTTTCGGGTTTAGGACCTAAGCCCTAAACCCTAAACCCTAAACCCTAAACCCTAAATCCTAAACCCCACCGAAATCCTTTACTTCTAGGTTTCTTAGGAAACCTTGCGGAGCTCCCGGAGAGGTGGTGATGCTCTTGGAAGAGTCGCTAAACTCACTAAGCCCCCAATTTGACCAGAAGTTCCTATTCATCCCAGTCACCCAAAGGTTCTCCCCAAACCCTGAGATCAGGGTTTTGGGTTTAGGGTTTAGGGTTTAGGGTTTAGGGTTTAGGGTTTAGGGTTTAGGGTTTAGGGTTAGGGTTTAGGCTTTAGGGTTTAGGCTTTAGGGTTTAGGGTTTAGGGGCAACCAGAACCCTATCTCATCCAGGCGCAGTCGGCGGACCAGCTGCTTCGTTGATGAGTCGACGTTGCTGAGCGGTTTAGACTTGCCCGCTCCTGGGCTGCGTCTTCTTTTTTTCATTCAGGGCGTTCGGCTTGTTGGGTTTGCGCGAGGGGGGGGCGAGGGGGGGAAGGGGGTCGGCTTGGGGTGGGGCGCTTTGTTTTGCACCTCTGGCTCGGTTTCGCATTGAACTTCCACACCCAAAGCCCTTAACTTGTGCACCCTAAACATTCGCACTTTCCAAAACCCTAGGCTCAAGCCCTTTCGAGTTGTCGATGGTTAAAGGGGTTAAGACTCGTGCCCCTAAGGTTGTACTCGTAAAGGTTCCCCTTAATATGCTCCCTTATGTTGCTTTGGAGAGTCTTTAAACCCTAAACCCTAAACCCTAAACCCTAAACCCTAAACCCTACGGGTGCGGTCCAAGGTAGAGTCCCATGAATAGTAGCTGGTGGCTCCTCGCCCCAACACCTGCAAGGTGGTGGCCAGGGACTTCTCCAGGAGCCGAGGGGGATTCAAGGATTTAGGGTTTAGGGTTTAGGGTTTAGGGTAACATTCCCCCCCCCCCCCCCACCCACCCACCAACCCACCCACCCACCCAACAACAAAATAGCCCCTTTGCAGGCGTAATTATTCTAAACCCTAATCTTAAATCCACCAAAAGTCGGCGCTGCTTTGGGGACTTTGTTTGGGATCTACGCTAAACTGCCATGTAGGCGGAGTAGTTTAATGGAGTTATATATATATATATAGATGTAGATGTAGATCTAGATTTATAGTTATATAGTTCTAGATCCAAAGCCATGGAGAGTGTGAGAGCAAGATGTAGGATCCGGACCATTGGGTAGGGTCGAGGGGTCTAGGGCTACAGGCTGACGTCCTATGGCCACCCGAAACCCTAAACCCTCACATGCCTGTGAAGGAAGGTCAAGACCTACACCACCACTTTCGCGGGCACGGTTGCCAAGGCTTTGCCGGCCACCGAGCTTGTCCCTGGGCAGGTCGGTTAAGGACGTCGGGTCCATCTTGGCAGAGGGTTTACAGCTCAGGCCCAGCTTGCCCAGACTGTTGCAGACCATAGAGTTAAGGGTTTAGGGTTAGGCTTCAGGGTTTAGGGTTTAGGGTGTAGGGTTTAGGGTTTAGGGTTTAGGTCTTTAGGGTAGAGGTGCTATAATGATGACTCTCTGGAGCTTCAACATGTGGGGATAAGTCATGCAACGAGGGTTCCTGCTCTCTGGTTTCTGATCTTCCTCTCTACTGTCCCAAGTGTTCCAACCCAAATGTCCAGTGTTCCAGCTTTCGGGTTTTCCGCGGATGAAGCCACCGGAGCCCCTGCCCTGGTCTTGTTAGGTCTCCACGACGCCCTAGAAGTTCCATGTCAATGTACGTGCAACTCATGAGGGTGTAGGGTCTAGAGTTCTGGGGCTTTGGAGTTGGGGGGGAGGGCTCTATCTTGAACCCTAAACCCTAAACCCTAAACCCTAAACCCTAAACCCTAAACCCTAAACTCTCTGAAGGTTCGTAGCTCCAGCTCCTGCTCGTCCACAGCCTTTGCAACCTTTGCCACCGTGCAAACGCGCCGCCGGGCAGCAGCTTAGGTGCCGTTTCGCCGCAAGTAGCTTAGGGTTTAGGGTTTAGGGTTTGCAGACATAGCCACAAAGGGTGTCACTGTAGGTGTCAGTGGGGTCCCAGGTCGTGTGTGGTAGTGTACCTGGGCTGCGAGTTGAGCTTCGCTCTGGCCTGATTCTGGTCACCAAGGCGTTTTGGCAGAACAGGCTCGCGGTGCGGAGTGCGGTGCGGACCAGGGGACCTTAGGGTTTAGTGTTTAGGGTTTAGGGTCTAGGGTTTAGCGGTATCCTTCCCTCTTTTGGGTAAAGGGTCCCAAACATGAAGATGAAGGGTACAAGCTTCGGGGTCCTAGCCAGAGTCCCTGGAGTGGCAGTGGAAGTTTGTTTCTCCTGCTACCAAATCTACAAAACCCTAAAGTGGTGGTGTCTCTGAGGGAGAGGGGTGGGGGGGGGTCTTTTTGATGGGGGGGGGGGGGGGGGGGTTCCTTCACAAAGTGCCTGTAACATGGTAGAGTACTTGGGGGGTTTATGGGCAAAGTTATAAGTATGGCTAGAAGTATGGCAAGTATACTTATAACACTTGTTTGGGCAGTTGCGACCGTACCTCTAAGTACCCATGACCCTCCAAGTAAACCCTAAACCCTAAACCCGAAACCCTACCAATGACCCTACTTATAAGGACCCAGATGAAGCTGCAAGTAAGCCCTAAGCCCTAAGCCTGAAGCCCTAAACCCTAAACCCTAAACCCTAAACCCTAAACCCTAAACCCTAAACCCTAAACCCTAAACCCTAAACCCTAAACCCTAAACCCTAAACCCTAAACCCTAAACCCTAAACCCTAAACCCTAAACCCTAAACCCTACATAAAAGTACTCGTATATGAACCTCCTAGTAACCCACGGATCTCAATCCCGAGTGCAGGTCCTGCTCTCGCACCGAAGCCGCTGGCAGATCCGGACCGCGCCTGAAGCCAGGGACGTGGCTTCCCGGCCCTAAACCCTAGACCCTATAAACCCTAAGCCCTAAACCCTGAACCCTGAACCCTAAACCCTAAACCTTTACATAAGCCCCAAAAGCCCACCTTAGCAAAACCCTAGTGCTTCATGACTTTGGCAGAGTTCGGAGCCCGCCGTTCGCTCGTCTTCACCCAGGAGCCCGCAATCGTTTCGGGTTTAGGATTTTGGGTTTAGGGTTTGTTTAGGGTTTGTCTGCCTACAAGCCTTCATCGGCTGCACGTATAGACTGGCAGCCTATTCAATTCAGTCGGCTGGTTAAACACAAAACCCTAGACTGTAAAACCCTAAACCCGAAATCACATACCCCTGAACATTAGACCCAAAGCCCTAAACCCCTTAAGCCCTAAACTCTCAGACCCGGAATCACATACCCTGAGCATGAAAGCTAAACCAAGCCGTCAGCAAATCATGAGAATACTTCGTCAACCCGAAACTGAATATCCGAAACCCTGAACCCCCAAACCCCCCAAACCCCGAAAAAAAAACGTAACCCCGAAACCCCAAAACCATCCGAAACCCCAGGCCCCTTAATTCCCAAACCCCGAAACCCCTAACCCCTAAACCCTAAACCCTAAACCCCCAAACCCCCCCCCCCCCTCAATTTCGATACACCTGAGGTGTGGTCCAATGCCTCCACACCCTGGAAGCTTAGCCATCCCCGCACCATCGTAGCAAAGGCACCAGGGGCCTCGACGCAAAGTTGGGGTTGAGGGTTGAGGGTTTCAGGGTTCAGGGTTCAGGGTTCAGGGTTTAGGGTTTAGGGTTTAGGGTTTAGGGTTTAGGGTTTAGGGCTTAGGGCGCTTCGGGTAGTTCAGGGCTAGTGTTGCGTTTCGAGTTTAGGGTTTCGGGGCTTGCGGCTTTGAAGGTTTCAAGGAGTTTTTTTTACGCTTTTGAGGTTGAGGGCTCTGAGGCTTAGGGTTTAAGGGTTCAGGGTTCACAGGGTTGCGGTTTACCCTCCTCTGTGTAATTGAAAGCCTCTTGGTGGGGGACTATTACTATAAAGACCTGAAGACCCACATCCCGTGATCTCCGAAGGCTACAGTGCAAGCAGCTTCTAAACCCCTCTAAGCCCTAAACCCTAAACCCTAAACCCTAAACCCTTGACCCTTGACCCTTGACCCTTAATCCTAAACCCTAAACCCTAAAACCTAAACCCTAAACCCTAAACCCTTAGCCATGCGCGATTCTAGTCGTGCTGTGGGGAGACCTAAGCCTGTCTTTCTGGAAGTTGATTCGAGGGCGATTGCTTAGATGAAGTTGGGAGTTAGGATTCTTGGCGTAAACCCTAAACCCTAAACCCTAAACCCTAAACCCTAAACCCTAAACCCTAAACCCTTGGCTGACCCATTCGGGGGGGGCCTAAGCTAAACACAAACATGCTACACTTTCCGAAGCCTGAGGCCGCAAAGCCCGCAACCCTGAGACCCTAAACTTCCCGAAGCACACAGTAGTTTAGGCTTTATAGGGTTTACAGGGTTTATTAGGTTTTTCAGGGTTTAGAGGGTTTATAGGGTTTATCGGGTTTATAGTGTTTATGATAGGGTTTATAGGGTTTGTAGGGTTTTTTTAAGGTTTTTAGGGTTTAGGGTTTGGGTTTACCCAAAGCCTAAAGCCCTCCACCTTCCTAAGACGAAAAGCGCCGCTCAGAGTTCAAGCGCAGGTGGTGTGCGTGGTCGGCGTGCTCTTCTGGTCTCTGCCAGCTCTTTGGCTTAAGGGCGCCAAGCCCTGCAACCCTAAACCCTAAACTGCCCAAACTGCCCTAAACCCTAAACCCTAAACCCTAAACCCTAAACCCTAAACCCTAAACCCCAAACCTTGATTTTGGGTCTTGGGGTGGCCTGGAGGGACCCGGGACTTGAGGCTCAAGGAAGAAAGATACCAGCCCCGTTTCTTGAGATCACGCTTTGGGGGAGGATGCAGGGTTTAGGGTTCAGGGTTTAGGGTTTACCCTAAAGCCTGAACCCTAAAACACACAAGCCTATACTCTGACCCCCAAACCTTTCCTTGACCCACTTGTGTCTCTTGAACAGGTTCTTCATGAGAGGACAGCTTACATACCGCGTAATCTCCTCCAGGGTTTAGCTCTGGGTAAAATTGCAGCACTACAGTAGCCATGCTGTCGTTTGAGTTCCAGAAGAACCCTAAAACCTCAACTCCCTCATCAGGTCACTGCCATTCAAGCGTGGTCGAACGCCGCTGGGCCACACTTTAGAACCCAACTTTGAGTATTACGCCTCAGGCACTCAGGGTGCAGATTGATTCGTTTCAAAGCGCATGGTGTCCCTACGCCTTTGAACCGAATTTGAAGGTAACAAGTGTGGTCGGTGGGCACTTCTGACGTCCTCTGAGGGTATCGGACAAGAATGGTGCCTAAAGTTAAGTTGGGGGTCGAGCTTGGTCCTGGATGTTTTAGGGTCCCAACCCCTGCCCCCCTACCCCAACAAAAAAAGGAACCTATAAGCCCAGCATCCCCAGCGCCTCTCCTTAGAAACAAGGTTGGAGGGTGGTCGAACGTCAACATCAAGCTCCTTGGTCGAACCCTTTGCCTCCTGAACTCTCAGCCCTTGTTTGTGGTTCATGGTGGGTTTAGGGTTTAGGACTTATACGGCTAGGGATTAGGGTTTTCATTTTGCCCCCATGGTTCATGGTTTTAGAGTTTTGGGTGTGGACCTCCAAGTCTTCCTGCTGATGGCCATATTTCAGGATGTGGGTTTAGGGTTTTGGGTGTAGGGTTTAGGGTCTTTCTCCCGCAATGAACTGACGCAGAAGTTGGACATTTCACTTGCAAGCGGAAAGCCCAAGCAAGGGCTTGGTTGCTCGGTTGATGGCAGATTTCCAGGAGAGCCTGATCCAGTTCAAGGCTCGCACCCCGAGCCTGAGAAGCCTGGCAAACCCTATTAAGTAGCCCCCGTGTCTCCACCCCACGAATGGGTTTGGGGTTGGGTTTAGGGTTTAGGGTTTAGGGTTGAGGGTTGAGGGTTGAGGGTTGAGGGTTGAGGGTTGAGGGTTTAGGGTTTAGGGTTTAGGGTTTAGGGTTTAGGGTTTAGGGTTTCCTGATCCAGACAACATGGCAGCCCTGGAGAGAAATTCGGAGGCGGCAGCAGCTGGCTAAAGCCTCTGAACCTTTAACCAATCCTTCAGTGAAGCCCTTACACCACCGAAAAATACCCACGGAAGACCCAAACCGAATTCCCGAAATTTCCAAGACCGCGAAACAATCCCAAACCCTACAGCCTAAACCCTGAACCCTAAACCCGAAACGAGGCTGCTTGCTTGGCTGGCGCCAGACAGTTGCCCGTCAAGTGTTGAGGAATTGGGGGGTTGATGGTATACCTTGGGATATAGAAGCCCCAAAGCGAAGGGTTCAGGGTTTAGGGTTAAGGGTTCAGGGTTTAGGGTTTAGGGCATACTGTGGGATGTTCCCCCTTATACTAACAGTCCTTCATGGGGATCATCGTACCGCTATTATCCTCCCTGTCTCAGGACTCTTAGTATCCGGAGGAACATCCCAAGGTATCTTTCCTGCGGTTTTCTAGGGAGGTCATGAGGGAACAAGACAATTGCCTATGAAATGCTCCTGAGCTTTTGGTGGTTTATGGGCTCTTTTTGTTAGGTTTTCAAAGGCCATGGACCACCCTGGCGGTTCCAAGCGGTTTGCGGGTTTGAGGGTTCTTTTGTTTTGCGAGGGTCTCCTGAACATTGGCTTGCGTAGGTCTTTCCTGCGCTCATACGGTTTAGGGCTTAGAGGGGCTTAGTAAGGGTTCAGTTCGGGTTCAAACCCTAAACTCGAAACCCTAAACCCTAAACAGTTGGGGTTCAGGATTTGAGGGCATGCCCACAGAGGTGCAGACACGTGCCGGCTCTGTCGCACCTTCATGGCGGCTTGGCCTGGGAAGCTACTGCGTTCTTTTGGTTACTGAGGGTTTAGGGTTTAAGGTTACTGGCTCTTCGTAAGAACTTGGGAAACTAGGGCTTTTGGGGGTGTAGGGTAATAATTAGGGTTGAGGTACCCTGTATCATGCCCGACAAGCGTGTTTATATCGGGGGTAGAACAAGTACCCAAGTTTCGAACTCCTGCTACGCACAAGTAAGTTTTTTGAGCTGGGGATATTAAAGGAGAGTTCTACAGGGCTTACTTTCTGCTTGTCGATTTTCCTTCC